CAAAAACGAGACCAACTGATACCTGTCGGTGGTGGATCATCGAAGTCTTCGTGCGGTGATTTGTGGTGCCCAAAGCAACCTCTTGGGCCCTGTTCTTGCAGGATGACCTCTCCGACCTTGCGAAGTCGGTTGGACCGACCAAAGAGGACCTGGCAACAGCTTGACAGACTGCCTCGAAGCCCTTCAAGCCTAGACTGTTGATGATATGAATCCTGCATTACCTTAAGGACCCTAGACTATGGGAATTATGGTATACTCCTTATTATGGGTAATGCAGGATTTATATCATCCACCGGAGGACCAAGAGCCCAGAAGTCCTAAACCCCGAAGCCCCAAGTCGCAGGAGTGGGAGCTCTGCTTCGAGTACTACTCCCAGAGTGCCGCAGAGGTCGACGCCGAGGTGGCAACGTCTCGGATTGAGTGGTTTAAAGGGGTGGATTCTAAAAATTCGGCGTTCCTTCTGTGGGTATCGGGGTTCAATTTTTGGTATGCAGGGTTTTAGGTTTGCAGTTTTACTCGGGGAGTGTGATCTGGGTTTCTACCTGGATGGCTCTTGGAGAAATGCTTCTTCGCGGATCTCACCTTTGACCCTCGCCCGACGGATTTGGGGTGGCACTGCCAAATCCAAGTCGAACCTGGTTATTTTCGCCGAAGCTTCGCTCAACCGTCCAAAGCAGACCCCCAAGCCGCAAGCCGCTAAGCCCGTGAGGTCTCTGCGCATGTTGAAGCAATGGATGACTTGGAGAACTTCTGGCTGCTGAGATTGAGTGCACGAAGGCAGGTGGTTGCATCACGCTGGGTTTCTGCCACAATCACGACACATGTCAATCTCGTCCACTCACTGTTGCCCCGTCTACTTTTGGAATGCCCTTCATCTTGTACCCAAGCCGGAAATTTCGGAAAATCAGGCGAGACCCCGAGCATGGACCTTAAAGGGTGGGTTCCGGGATATGAGGGCGTGTGAAGAAGTTCGGCCTCCTTCCAACAGGCTGGAGCTGGAAAAGTCACAGCTGTGGCTGGAGGTCTTGGGCGTCGGGCTGCAGCTTGCCCCAAACAGCTGAGCTGCTTCTTTAGGCTTGCGGTTTAGTGTTCAGTGTTTAGGAGGAGGGTGCTTTTCTGAGTTGAGCTGGGGGAGGAAGCTCTTTGAGAGAGCTTCCTGTCAGAGGTAGAGCTTACACCGTCCACTCCGTCTGATCAGGAATGTGGGTGCCGTGATTACCGGCATTTTCGGCTTCTCAGCTGAAAGAAGACCGTGGCAAAGGCACGCTCTGCTCTATCGACAGGGAATCCCTAAACCTTACATAAACCCTTGAAGCCTCGTCCGAAACATGGAAGCACCATGCAGCCTCTGCAGACAAAGCAAGTATAACCCCCTGACTCTGACCCTAAACCCCCAAAGCCTGAAACCCTGAAGCCCTAAAGCCTAAAGTCCTACACACCAAACCTGAAACCCCCAAACCCAAAACCTTAGACCCGTTAACCCTTGACAGCACCCCTTTAAACCTTAAGGGTCCCCTATACCCTGAACCCTAATCCCCTAAACCCTGATCCCCCTGAGGGTCCCCTATACCCTAAAACCCTAATCCCCTCAACCCTGACCCCCCCCTTTAAGCCCTAAGGGTCCCCTACACCCTACACCCTAATCCCCTAAACCTGATCCTCCTTTGAACCCTAAGAATCCCCTAAACCCAAAGCCCTAATCCCCTAAACCCTGATCCGCCTTTCGACCCTGAAGGGTCCCCTAAACCCCAAACCCACCCTGATCCCTCTTTGAAACCCTAAGGGATGAACATCACCAGTGGCCTGGAGACTCGGCGGCCGATTTTCTTTGCCCGTGCCTGCATGGCGCCTCGGGCGGAACTCTAATGTTTGGGGATGAGGGCTTTTTTTGGCCTGCAGATGAGGGTTTTGAGGGTTTGGGGTTGAGGGTTCAAGGTTTGGGGGTTGGGGGTTTGTGAGGCCCTCGATGTGGCGGCAGTAGTTGACGGTTTTGGTAAACCCTACTGTTCGCGCCCTGAGCTTTGAACCCACAAGCCTCCGAGCCCACAAAAAACATCCTGCACTGGCTCTTTCGTCACTGAGGCAATCGTGGCTTTCTCTTGCGTGGTTTCTATCGGCCTGAAGATGTTGGTGCTCTTCGGCCTGCAAGCTTTAGAGCGAGCCTGGCACTGTAGGAAAGCGTCAAGACATTGGTCGATATCTGTCTATCAATCTATCTGTCTACCCGCCTAGCTATGTATCTGTGTACGCCCACCCGCCCACCCGCATGCAGGCACGCACGCACGCATGCAGGCACACGCGCACTCATAGATATGTACATACATATGTATGTATCAATATACTAGTATATACATACATACATACATACATACGTACATACATACAGATATATATGTGTGTAGATATATGTACACATATGTATACATGCATGCATGCATGCATGCATACATACATGATTGTACACATGTTGTGTGTGTATATATATGTGTGTGTATACGCGTATGTATCTACGTATGGGCACATATATTACAGGTACAAACAGATCAACCAATAAATATGTCAAGATGGATAATTACCAATCAATAGATAGTGAAACAACTACGTCAATAATTGAGTAAGAAGTAGATGCATACATAAACAAATAGGCGAGTGAACCAATACAAAGGTAGAAAAATATGTACACATACGTCTGTGATCCGATGAGCACTAACAAATGAAAAATACATGTTAAACAGATAGATGGACGAGCGACTGCAGCGGACTTGTGCGCGTCTTCATGTCACGGTCGGCATGTGTGAAGATCTGAGCGAATTCAGGTCGCGAAGGCTGCGTAACCAGGCGCCTGGGATGCATGCGGTTCATGTTGCACATTGACCCTCGCAATTAATATCGGTTTCTTGCCACGATAGGGACTCAATGTTGAAAGGCAGATCCCTGGCCTTCCTGCAGATATGTACCGTTTAGGATCAATGCAGACATCACTTATGAGTATATGGACAGTAACCAAAATTATCAACGGTCAGAAGGAAGGATGCCACAGCTTGAAGCAACCCGCACCCAGGGTGTCGCGATGATGCCCAACCTCCTCTCTGGGCGTGAGCCGCCCGAGCGGCAGCGCTTTCGGCGCGCGGCCCGCTCCTTCTGAGCACCAAAGAGGATGGATTTAGGAGATTTAGGGTTTAGGGCCGTTTAGGGGTTTAGGGGTTCAAGATCTGTGGACAAGCCTGGGTCGGCTTCTCTCGTGTCTTATGTTTCATGGCTTATGGGTTGCGAGTTGCCGGGTTCGGAGAGCAATGGCGCATCAAGTGGGTTTCAACAGAAAGGCTCTAGAAGGGTCGGTGCTGGTCCGTACCCGGATCCGTCACAGCCTCCCTCACGTGTTGGCTTGAGATGGAGTTACAGTTGCGGCTTCGGCACATGGTCTCCGCGACTTTGCAAGCCAACTCTAGGTTGATTTTTGGGCGTTGTGAAGATCAGGGATGTCCCTCTAAGTCCCAACGGTTAAGAACCGTAGCTCCACCATCGGCCGCTTCGTGTTGGGATCTTGCAACAAAGAGAGGGCAACAGCATCCGTTCACTGCCGTAGAGTTGCAAGATCCGGGGAGGACGGGCGGGGTGTAGGTCTCCGAGGTCTGCAAGAGGGTCTCGCAGGGTGTCATCTTTACTGCCAGCATTGCGCCCTGAGGATGCCTTTCCCTCCTACAGACCTTGGTCCCATGGTTTACATGAGTTGCTCACCGCTTGCTCAGGCCCTGGAATGCTTAAGGCAGCTTTGAGCCCTCTGGGGTCAGATCTAGAGCCTTTCAGGGTTGGAGACTCTTAAACGAAGGGGTGAAGCAGGGTTTGAGTCAAGTTTCTGGTGATAGGCGTCCACCTCCCAGGCGTTTCAGAAACGACCAGAGCCCTGCAGAAGTCTGAGATGTCTATGATCGTTGTGCATTCGGTGCGGAAGTAGGTATGATCTCACCGTGATATCCTGGACTGTCGGCATTGTTTACGCTCAAGTGTCCACAAGTGAGGTCTGACCGCGACGTCCCAGCCCCAACCCCGAACATCGAAGCGTTTGGTCAGGATGGGCAAATCGAAGCAAAACCACGAACAAGAAGACACGACAAGCAGGATAGGAGAAGCCGCAAAAGTAAACACGACAAGCAGGACACGACAAACAGGACACCAGGAAAGTAGACACGGCAAACAGGATCGGGGATGCGCCGCCAAAAAGCAGGCACAACAAGCGGGATAGGGGTAAAGTCACCAAGGAGTAGAAACGACAAGTAGAATCGGGGAAACGCCGCCAAAGTAGTCACGACAAGCATCAGTGCAGCAATGGCACCGGAAATTAGACAGGACAAGCAGCATGTAGTGGCCAAGCTGCCGACATGCAGAGCAACTAACGCCACTAACAAGTTAAAATAACACAAACAGGGTATGCCCGACAAGTAGACACGACAAGCCGCATAGGGCCAACAAGTAGACACGACAAAGAAGATCAAGGCAATGCCACCACCAACTAGACACGAAACACAGAATATGGGCAAAGCTGCCAGAAAGTACCAGTAGGCGTGACGAGCCAAGAAGTAGACACGACAAAATAGGCTGGCGGCAAAGCCAGCGGAAAGGAGACAAAGCATACACAGACTCTTCAGACCCGAAACGACTCTCTTGCAAGTTTAGGGTTTTCAGGTTGATTCGAGCCAGCGGAAAAGGTTGTAATATGGCGACAAACTCGCGCACTCATGTCTCATGTCAAGCAATGGTGCGAGCATTGGATTCGAAGCTGTTCCGTTTTACATCGCCAAGGCTTCGCCATACTAAAAAGTGGATCCTGAACCCCAGAGGCCCCAAGCTCTGCATCCGAAATACTGCGTGGACTTAGTAGCCTTTCGGCACAGACAATTGTGCCTTTTGGTGGCAAGTCCCACTTGGAGGGCGGATTGCACTGGTTTACGACACCCTGATGCAAAGCGCCAGCCAACGTACAGCGCGAAGCTTCTAGCCCCCTTCAACGCGAGCAATAGTGATCATGACGCTAGTTTTGTCAAGAACCATACTCTCATGGTCATGATAGCACTATAGCACCAGTAACGACGACAGTGCTGCTCCTGAATCTTAACTTCTGAATGTCCGTGCACCGCAGAGTCGTAAGCCGAAGTTAGCTGAGCAGTCGGTGGCGAGCCCAGCGCTGCGGCTAGAAAGCCGGCTTGCTCGAGCGATGTGAAGAGACCTGTTGAAAAAGGAATCCTGATTGATGACCCCCTCCATGAGGAGTGTTCTAAAGGGCATCCTAGTATTACTCGCCTTAAAGAAGGGGTAGTATGAATCCGGTGTCTACACCAGGGTTCACGGTTGAGTTTTTTCATGCTCAGGAATAGTAGCATGCCGAGGAGGATAAAGTCCTTGCTCCGGCAGTCGCATCAAGATTTTGCTGTCGCCAGGATGCCAGGTTTCTAGATGTCTCTGGTTTGACAGTATAGAGGCAGTTGGTGATGGTGCACAACCCAAGATGCATCCGTTATCGTCAGTTCGTCAGCAGAACTGTTCAGTTTGTCTTAAGTGTAGTGAAGTGCTCCGTTATGTGGGAGTTTCCGAAAATAGGGGGACCCTAATGTAGTACCCTAAGTAGTAGGATCCTTATTATAAGGACCCCCAACTAGGTTATCCCTAATTTTGACAACCACCCATGTATGTCTCGACTTCGATCTGGCGTTTGTATCTGACCCTCGCCACCGCCAGGTGCATGAGGTCAACGACCTATGGGGTGATCGAGGGCAGAAAGGGTGCAATTGCACCATCTCCTAGTGAAGAGGCGGGGCTGTGGCTTACCTGTTCACCCTACACAAAATATTTCGGAACTGGAAGACATACCTTGACAGTGCACTACCCAACTCTGTTTGCATGTAGTCGGTTCGTGGTTCGTGAAGACATTGAGATCGCCGTAACTTGAATAGCGCTTTGCTCAGCTTGATAACGTGTGAAGAAGTCTTCTTTAGCACGATGGGGTTTGTTGGTGTCGCAGGCCAGCTGTGATGGCTTCCGCGAAGAAATTGCAATTGCCCTACTCCAAAGGTGCCCGGCTCGGAGGGTTTAGGGCAAAAGGCTGACCGCTAGCACGTGGCTGCAGCAGGTCATGCATCGACTCGGCAGAGCTTTTGTTGGAGCCGAGGATCAAGAAAAAGGGTGGCAAAGCCACACGGATGGATTTAACAGTCGGCCGCGCCCCTCGTCTGATCATAGCCTTCAGACTCCAAAGCCTTAAACCCCAAGCTTCCTATACATTATGGACCCCCTTAGAACTCAAAAGCCTGCCTCACTGTAGAGACCGTGATCCCGAACAAGCCCTCGTAGCGTTTCAGACCTCAGGAGTCTGCCGCAGAAGGGTGAGAAGACCTGCCTGTGAGTGCAAACATCCCACCTTCCCAAGCATGACGCGGAGCCCTCGTACCCGTTGCCTTGTGCTTGAAGCGTCGTGGCACTTAGCACTTAAGGTTATGAGCAAGGTAAGTATACAGTTGCTTGTAACTCTAGTTAACATAGACCTAGCCTTACTTGCCAACCCACACCATCGTCGGGCCTTTGCACGGTGTGACTGTTGCGTCGCACTGCATTCAAGAAAATCACACGAAGAGCCTGACAGCTGGATGCCTTATGCCCCTAACCAAAGTGAAGTGCTCCCCCTTGGGTCGAACCGTTAGGCTTACGGGACCAGTTATAATACTTTGGGACGGCTTGTGCAAGCAAGCTCCCCATATTCCGTAACGAAGGAAGCAACGAAGTCCCCAAATCCTACACTCAAAACCTTAGCCGCACATCCTACACCCGAATCTGAAGAGCTCTTATAAGTAATTCAACATGCCCTACCCGTGGCTCCTACGTCATGCCTTGGGATCCACAGTGGATAGTTCCCAGGGCCAAAGCACTTGCCAGTGAGTTTCCAGACGCCGTCCACTCCACCAGCATTTTTCCGTTGCTTCCGGTCCGACAGCACGGTGGTAGTGCTAGGGTTTGCAGGGTTTGGGGTTTGAGGGCTTTAGGGGTTTTAGTGTGGAAGGTTTAGGGCTCACACATAAAGTCCCACAGTGTCAGCTGCGGTACCAGACATGTCCCTTGATTCAGAGGCCGTCGGCCTTTCACTCGCAAGTGCCCGAGCGCTTACATGGAGGGTTCTTTTGCACTGAGGGTCGTAGAACGTGACCCGAAAGTGTATGGGCACAAGCTAGTGTTAGCTTGACTCTAGACCGCAATCCTTTTCCTGAGATGTGCATGGCACGTCTACAAGCCCTCAGCACTGCCTTCTCTGAAAGAGAGGTCACTTCCTTTCAGGTGCGTGCCGGCCGTCGTGCCCTAGGCCACCAAGCCAGCCTTTGACACCATACTTGAAGGCACGTACCTTCTTGGCGCTACTCACGTGACCATGTCAGGCTATTCGTGAGCAAAGCTGTTGCAAACGTTTGCAAGCGACCTTGCTTAGTTCACTTAGTTCACTAAGGTTTTTCAGAATTTTTTTATGAGGAATCGTGTTTCATGTGCAGCTTCTGCTCTCGAACTAGACTCGTCATGGGCCCTGACGGTTTCTGCGTTGCATACTGCCAGGGTTTTGCAGTGAGTTTCCAGAAGATGATGGCTGGGACCGAGGTTTAGGTATGTTGGAAGTTCAGAGTGTCCTCCAGCTACATCTGCCCGAGAAAACTTCTGTCTATGCAAGGACTGGCAGAAGGGATTCGCTCCGGCGTTGTTCAGCAAGCCTGCAGCTTATGCAGAGTCGAACTCCTGACCTGGAAATCTTGATGTAGGAGCCTGATCAAGAAACCTTGGGTTTTTTTATTGGAGCTCCTTATGTGAATCCTACTAAAAGGGGGGGTTGTAGGGCTGGGTTTCTTCATCAGGTTCTCCTACATTACTTGGGCTTTTACTTAAGGCAGGTGTCGTAAATCAGGGAATGTGGAGTGCGTGATGAGGTCCCTCCTTGTATCGTTTCGAATTTCCGTGTCGATAACTACGTGCCCTGTTGGATACCACAGGGAGGACCCTCCAAAACAACACGGGAGTTGTTCTTTCAAGGAAATTGTAAATTCAGTAATGGCTCCGGCTACAAACCTTCGTAGACTGCCTCGGCAAAACTGTCAGATATCTTGAGCCGCTGATGGGGCGACACTTCCTAAACAACAAACCGTATTTCCCAAAGTCTGTATTGGGAAGTTGGTCTGTGTAGCTAGGGCTCTTACCGTACGCTAACGCTGGGATAGGTGATCAAGAGAGGCACTGAACAAGCTCGCACGAGTCGGATGCTCCGACATGACTTCGAGAACCACCCTAACCCACCCTAAACTCTAAAAGACTCTGACTCTAAACCCTAGACCTTGAACTCCAACTTTCAGGCTTCCATGTAAAGGTCGAGTCCTGACGAGCATCCGGCTGTTGACGATCCATCGCATACATGTTTACGGAGACTCAGCGCGTCGTTTTTCCATGTTGTCATCGGACGATCCGCGGCAGAAGCAAGCACAGCTGTGAGGAGACGCTAAAGCCCTCTGCCCTTTCGACTTCGGCATACTGCCATAAGCCATAAGCCATAATACTCAAGAGCTGGTCGTAATGGGCAAAGTAAAGGCGTGGGCATCACTTCACAAGGACTCCAGGACTCGGGGACTTGTCTATGGAATCATGGTCCGTGTTGTCTTGTCTCGAAGATTTCACATCCAGAGCGTCAAGCCAGACTCCGCCGCAAAGATTCTTTGAGCTTAGATCTGGCCCGGATCATCCAAAAGGGAGCCAAAGAAGACGTGGACTCTCAAAAGGTTTCCATTGTTCGGAAGCTCAAAGGGGCGCTTTAGGGAGGGGAGGAAACTCTCCTCCTAGATTCCCCTTCGCTTAAGGGAGGCTTGAGGGGTGTCGAGTTCGGGCCATCCATGGACAGCCAAGTCTGACAGGCCCGTCCCGCACTGCTCCAGCCTCCTGGTTGGTAAGGTCCTCATGCCCAAGCGACGGTCAGAGTCTTGATGTCAGGTTTGGGTAGCAGAGTCGTTCTTGTCAGTCTTCGGGCTTCAAGTTCAGATCCATGTCGCAATGCATCACTTGGTTGGTCGCACTATGCCAGCTGTCAGAGTTCTGTTGAACGTCGTCGTAACCTGAAATTCCGTCGCAGGAGCAGATGCGTTATACCTGCATGTCTATATCTGTATCTCTCTCTCTCTCTATATATATATATATATGATACATGTGTACACATACACACACAGAGATGATATGCAGATACGCATGGAAACATAAAAGAACACAGATGTGGTGTGTGTGTGTGTGTGTGTGTGCGCGTGTGTCGTTGAATGAAAAATAGGCATCCATATGTGCGTGTTGGCGTCTGTGTATGTGCTTAGACGCATAATATACATATACACACAGGTAACTGGATGCATACCTACACAGCATATCGTACTTTTCGATTTGGGGAGGTGTTGCAGGAAGCTCAGGACCATGGACTCGCGGGCCCCTCGAAGGAAGGGCGAAGAAGCCCCGCCCCCGCCAGGAAAGAGAAATCTCGTCTCACCCACAAGGTCTGGACTGGAGCGAAGGGCCGAGGGGTTCTTGAAAAAGCGTTGAATCTCGGAGAGCCCAGCACAGCTTCTGTATATATCTCGGGGCTTTAAGGACTTTATCATCAGAGTAGGGTGTTGGGGTATGTTACTCTGATTATATGTATATATGTATATGGACTCAGGGGCACCATTAGTAAATGTGCCAACAGCCAAATTTTAGGCAAGCTCCGGCAACCCTATGAACATGCCCCCCCAAATGTAAGGAATGTGCTTTGGTGAAATGGCCAATTACATATTGGCTCTCTGGTTGCTGAGATCTGGCTGCTCCTTTTATTCTTCGACTCCCACCAGAAACCCATGGCCCATGTCATTTAATGTCTATCATCGACTACAATAGAACATGAAATGCTATGATGTGGTGTATTACAATCCAATACAGTACAATATACTTTAGTATTCTATACTATGCAGTTTAATTCAGATTGAATATTGTATAATGTATCATAGCGTGACCCTGACCTTTAGACCTTCAGTCGTGCCGCCGCTTCTGCAGCTTCAAGCAGCCGAAGTCAAAGCCATAATATTGTCCACTACAGTATAATAGCATAATGTACTATAATTTGTTATAACACACATACCATACGATAGTACCAGATATAGTTGTATCGTAGAATGTATGAAGAGATAGCACAGACCGCATCTCTGCTGCCGTCCTTCTCGGTTCTTGAGATTCATTGCTCTCCCACGGTGGCCAGGCCTCCAGCATGATCTAGCTAGCCATAGTCACCACACCTCACCCCAGCCAAGTTCCCCAGCACTGCTCGTGCCATTTCCCGTGATGCCTTCCCAGTCTCTGGCATCGGCTGGCACATGGCCAAAGAGCTCCGCGCTTACAAGCGAAGGACATGTTGTCGTGACATTCTTCCTGATTGCCGTTCGGATATACTCGTACTCAGCGCCTTTGGCCAAAGTCATCTGTGCAGTTGTCTGAGGTTTCGTGCCGTTTTGGGCGCATGCCCTTCGATGCCAGGAGCTTGGACTTGGAAGGTAGGAGCAGTTCTCGAGGGTGTAAATTTTTTTCAGGTTCAGAGGTTCCTTCTTTCTCAACACCGTGGCGAACGATTCTCCGATTCCATGCGCTTTGAACCCAAAGCCTGAAGCCCTGAAAATCCTGAAGCCTACGGAAAACCCTAGCCATGTGGCTCAAGTTGTGAGCACGTGAGGCTTTAAAAGCGATGTCGCAAGGCCAGGACCAAGACATGTCTGGCGAAGTCGAGGACGCGGAAAGCCGGGCCCGGGCGGTCCTCGAAACGCCGAAGAAGAAGATTCGTCTTCTGGAGAGGCCCACCCCGGCCACCCCGGCCACCCCGGAAGACGGGAAGGCCGTAGAGGCCATAGAGGCCGAGCTGCTCCGCGCACAGCAGGAAGTTCCCATCTTGGGTGGGCTTTTGGCGGAGCTCCTGTGGCGAGGGGGAGAGGAGGAAAAGTACGGAATGCGAGATCTTCACTGTTTGCTGTGCACGGGCAAGACTGCCGAGCTGAAGCTGCTGGTGGGAATCAAAGAGCTCCGCATGCAGCCGAATCGCGATGCAAGTCAAGTTCGAAGCTATGCAATGATGTGCGACGAGGTGCAGGCCTCGCACCACGCTGGCTGGACCTTCAGCCGCAAATTGCGCTTCTGCACCACTGAAGCTGCGGACCGCCACGCAGCCGAGACCATTTTGAGACTGCACAGTTTCTGAAACAAAGCGGAAACCGAGGCCAACAGTAGGGATGAAGAGCATCCGACTCCACGCCCTGCGCCCTACTTACTACGCTTTTGTTGCTGCTGATATGCGATTATCAGAGTGCACTAACTAGCCATTGCTATGTTGTTGAATGATCCTGCGTGGGGTAGGCGGTGTGCGGCCTGAGAGGATGAGGGCACCAATGTACAGCCGTCTCTTGCCTTGCGAAGGGTGAAGCCTTTGGTGTTGGTATAGTTGAGGTGTGTCTATGCTGTGGGATCGCAAGAACAAGACAGTGACGGAGTGCCGTTGAAGAGCCTGCGTCTGAAATGAGGGTAGCTTGGCATGCCAAGGCCGCTGTGATTTGTGTCTGTTTTGGTTTGTCATAGTGCCTTTGGGCATCCCCTTACAGTAGTGCGAAGGGGATGTGTCCCTAGAGAGGGCTGGAAGGCTGGAAGTAACTTGGACCATGCCACTTCGCTGAAACAGGCCCATCCCTGCACGAAGGGTTCCGCCGCCACGATGGTTTGCAGGTGTTCGTAGCGCTTTCCGGATTTTTTTACGGAGTGGGGTAATTTGAACCCCAAGCCCCGAAATCCTAAACCCTGCCTTCAGCCTCATGTTTCACCTTTCCGGGGACAGACGTCGAACGTAGGATCCTGGCGCGCAGAGGGAGCACCACGAAGTGGGTAGACAGGTCGATCCAAGTCTGATTGCATGGTTAGCCTCGTTGTGATGCTGTGATCCACGGGGTGGTGATCTCTCGACCTCAAGAACCTTTTGGGGACATAGTTGGGGGGAGAGGGTGCTATGCTGTAGGGGCCGGGAAAGACGACAAAGCCAAACCGCCATCTGAACTCGCAGCTTTTTGCCCAACTGTAAGTAAGGTTTTTCCGGTCCTTAAAGCGCTTCCACACTGTCAGCAGTGCGAAGCTTCGGAAGAAAAGAGACGCAGTGACAGCGAAGAGAGCAAGGCCGGCAGTAGTGACGATGTAGAAGGCAGCCATGGTTTTAGGGTTCAGGGGTTTAGGGTTTAAGGGATTAGGGTTCAGGGTTTAGGGTTTAGGGGAGCCCCTGAAGGCATCTGTTGCCGTCGGCTGTAGGGACTGGAGTGTTCCCCTAACGCGCTGTGACACGATTTTTTGGAGTGACAGCTGTGCAGGGTTTTCAACGCCTGTGTTATATACTGCAAGGCCCTGAAGCCCAACGGCCATAAAACAACCGACTCAGCGACCAACATACAGATTCAGACATTTCGACATGGACATATAGCGCCCAGAGAGTAGCCTCTATAAACACCCCAAGCTCAAACCCTACCCCCAACGCTGTACGCTCCAGAATGCATTGCTCTAGAACCCAGGTGGAGGCAGCGACTGAGAAGGCCATGCGGGGAGCATACGTTCGGCCACTAAACACAGGGACCCTTGGCAACTAGAAACGGGTTCCCGTAAAGGTTGTTTAAAGGGTTCTGCAACATACTCCAAAAATATGCAGGATCTCGATGGTCTTTGTCAAGGCTTTGAAGCCGTACCCCTTGGCTAGGGGCGCCTTATTGCAGATCTCGGCCATGCCTTCCAAAGGAGCGTCTCAGAGAGTTTTTAGGGCTTAGGGAGTACCTTAAGCCCACCTACCTTTTTAAGGACTCATATAAAGAAATCATATTAGGAAGCCCTAAAAAAGGGTAGGTTTGTTAGGGTCCAGGTAGAGCTTAGGGATCAGGTTTTAAGGCTCAGGCTTTGGAGGCAAGGTTAAGGAGAGTAGCGTTTAGGGTTTGGGGTCTCGGTGCATCGATCTCAGGCCCAAGTCCTGCCAAAGCCTTTCGAGCATTCTAGCGCCTTGAACCCCAAAGCTCTCATCCACAAGCCCTAAAACCAGAGATCCGAAGGCTTCAATATACAACCCTGGCGTGAAGCAACATATATCCAGCACACCTCTAAACCCTCAGCGCTAAGCCTCTAAACTTAAGCCCGAAGCCCCAATTGAACCCTAAACCCTACATGTGCAGCAGGCCTTGTCTTGCCAACTTCTTGACTCGACATCGGCAAAGGCTCTCTGCGAGGTGGACTGGAAGAGAAGTCTAGGTTTCATAAGGTTTGAAGAGTTCGCGGTTTTCAGGCGCTGTAGAGAAGGGTAGAAGGTATGTGTGTGTATATATATATATATATATATATATATATATTACATGTATGTATGCACACATATATATGTTTATACATATATGTAAATGTATGTATATGCATAACCCTTCACACACTCGTTCATCGCCTCATGGATCGAACCACTACTGGTTGCAACCAATGCAGTACTTGCTACAGCCTGTGAAACATGCAGCCGACGATCACAACCCATGGCGTTCCGTCAGAACATTCAGAATCATTTGGGAGCTTCCGAAAATAGGGGGACCCTAATATATTACCCAAAGTAGTAGGACCCTTATGATAAGAACCCCAAAATACGGTACCCCTAATTTCGGAAACTCCCTTTTGACGTGCTTAGCATGCGGCACTCGCTCCATCTCGGCCTTCAGGCTTCAGGAAGGCTTCGATTCACGATCCAACCGACAGCTCCCGTCGCTCTTGATCCTTGTCCTCGGATTTCGCAGCCAACCTGTTTCAATCGATCTATATGGAACAATGATACGTGAACCACAACTTGCGAGCGAGGTGCGAATTTATTCGATTTTCACACAGCAGAAATCATCGCTGCACTTGTTCAGCTCGTTTGCTGATAGCATCCGGGAGTTCTTTGGCCGACATAGCTCGACAAAGCTCGCTGCAACCCTAAACCCTAAACCCTCAAGCGCTGACCCCAAAACCCTGAAGCGTGTCCGGTCAATATCTCTCTGCTCTCTAGACCCAAAACGTTACTTCATCCGCGATGCTTTCGTAATGCATTACCCTTCTTCCCACGTACCCGTACCCATCTCTTTGAAGCTCCTGGTATATACATATATATATATATATATATATATATATAGTATATATATATATATATAGATAGACACACATGTCGCTCTCTCTCTCTATATATATATATACATATACACATATTCCATGTTATGTAAAATTAGATGAAAACACATGTTACGCTTTTCTGTTTCTGTTAAGGGTGGTACAGAAGCATCGCAAAGGGGTCTACAGCTTTATCCGGGTTCAACGCAGCATGTTCGAGACATGCTTCTTTAAGGACTGTGCAGGGGCTCAATCAGTTTTGGTGTTTTCGGGCGTGCCTGCGATATCGGGCTTTCCAAGCCCCTTCCCGGCTTCGAACAGCGCAGACCAACGCCAAGAGGCAAGATGATTCCAATACCAATTTAGGGTTCCTTTTTTCTGACTGTGTGCTCAAAGTAGGCCGAGACCCTATTCTCATCATTCAGGCCCTTACATTAGCTCCCTAGCCCATGCTTGCTCTTCCTCCTCGCAAAGCCTCTGCCGGCCTCTGCCAGCGCCTGAAGCCGGTCCTCCTCCGCGAGTGCAACGTGCTTCGGCCAAGCAAGACTATGAGGGCTTCTTCAAAATTAGAGTCTTGGTTTCCTAATCCCCAAACCCTAAACCCTAAACTCTTCTAGGTAGTTATCCAGAAGAGTACGCCGCTCTTCTCTTCGGGACCCAAGAGCGACCGCCTTTTGAAACACCGTGCTTCTCCACCATGGAAGGTGTGGAAGGATCATGCATAGAAATATAGCCAGACGTCGAACGCAAGAAGGTTCATGGAGCAAATCTTTGGAGAAGCGACCAGAGATGATAGATGCGAGGCCCTAAGCCCCGCCATAAGCCTTACCATAAGCCATAGGCCCGAAGCCGTCTCCCCAACAAATCCTAAGCTGGACGCCCCAAAGTTGGGTTCTGTTGTCCCTGAACCCTAAACCCTAAGCCCTACATTACATCCTAAACTCTAAAGCCAGTTTCTTTCCCAGGTGAAGCCCGTGCCCGTGCCTGTGACGGTGGTGGGCGATGTGCATGGCCAGGTCGGGGCCAATGGCCAAAGAAAAAGCAGGCTTCCTTTAAAGGGGTCTATAAGGGTTACTATGATATAGTTACAAGGAGGGCACTACTTGATAGTTGTCTATGCTATTTTGGGGTGTCCTTGTTATGTTTAGAGTACAGTGGGCCCCAAAACTCTATTCTAACTATCAAGGCCCCTAAATTATCAGGTTTCGGGGTTTTGGGGTTTCGGGTTTAGTTCGGGATGCAGGGTTTGGGGTGAGAGATGGGGAGGGAGGGCAGGAAGAGACCCTGGTTGGAGTGGTTCGGTAGAAGCATGTAACGGTGTAAGGCTTCTCTAGATTCAAAGGGGATTTTGTCGGAGTTCTTCAAGGACCTACAACGATTGCGGGACCCCTTTCGGCATGAGGAATTTGGTAGCTTTATTGGTCCTGTTCTGTTGGGCGGTAAGTCGTTCCTGTATTCCGATTGAGCATTAATCTGCGTTGACGGCCCTGCCGCCCCACAGACAATCCAACAAACCCCTGCAACCGCAAACCCCTCAACCCAAACACCAAGCGCAGCGTCGCCTGTCTGAAAGGTCTTTGACCTGTTGGAGATGTTTCGAATTGGGGGACCAGCGTGGCACTCAGGTTTGCTGAGCTGCTGGGCAGTGTTCGCGTGATGTGCAGCGAACAGGAGTCCGAAGGTTCAAAATGATCTGCTGCTTAGAACGAGATACGGAGAAAGAAGTCTATCGATCTGTCCATCTACCCTCGTCGACCTATCTGCAGACTCATCTTGCCCTATGGTCTGATGTGTAAAGCAGCGCCATTCCCAGGTCCCGCACACGAATTATCTTTTCCTCGGCGATTACGTCGATCGTGGCCCTTTCTCGGTCGAGACGATTGTGTCAGCTCGGCATGCTTCAGTGCTGTTGTGTCGGCACCATCCCTGAATTGATACTGTCTTGCCCGCAGGTCGTGTCGGGTGGTGTTGGTTTGGACCAGCTTTTTCAATGGTTCAAGATTTTTTTCGATGATTGGCATGGGTTATTGCGCCACATGTTCGACCACTTGTCAGCAACTCAAT